ACGATACTCATTGTCAAAGTCTTGGTCATAATAAAGGTGATGGTTATTATTATTAGTATTTAAAATCGAAAAGAACCCGTTTCCTCATATATTAACTATATTAATATTAGTCGATATTAATTAGGTTAAATATGAGAAGTTATGTTGGAGTATCTCTACATGTACATAAACTGTAAAATATTAAAATCAACCAAATCATAGAATTTCAAAATTTTCAGTTTACAAAATAATGTATTTGATGGATGGTTTTTAGTAGTATTTCTGTATTGTATATTTCACATTTAGTCGTACATGTAGTACTTTTCAGTGTTTACAAGAGGATGTGTTAAAATGCTGTTTCTATGCAGGAAATACCAGGTAGAGCTCGGTTTTAGCATTACTGGATTCACACCACAGTCCAGTCTCCCTCCTACTTCCCTGTATTTGTTCGGTTCCTCCAGAGTTTGTGTAAGTTTGCTGCCACTTGTGTTTGCAAGCTTCAGCCCAGATTTAAGTTCAGTAAATTAAAGGTGCAACAATTGAGTTGTAAAACACAAGCAGAGCTTTGTCACTGAGTTACAGAATGCCCACGCCTAAAAGACGCTTCCAGTTGATTCGTCTCTAAAATGTTCATAAGCTGGTATAAGTTGTGTAAAACATCACAGTGTGTCAGGGCCTTCATGTACAGCTGCTGATGATGATTTATTTCTAAAAACTCCGATTAGCAAAATAACTGTTTGAATGCTCTTACATCTTTTGGAGAAATTCTCTTTGGGAGTTTGGAGTTTAAAGTGTTTGTTGAACAAATTATCTACAATTTCAAAATGTCTGGAATCAAGGTTTGGATTTTCCCAGTCTTGATGTTGTATTTTTATTTTTTACGGTTATTTAACCAGGCATATGTATTTATGAAAAAGGAAAATAAAATTGAGAAAAAGTCCCCAACTGTTTACCAACAATTTCTTCTAAGAATATATTTAACATTACTTTTAAAATACTTTGCAACCAACCGTAGTATTTATGTTATTTATAAATTCCATTGGTGTTACAAAGCTGCTGGTTCACCTGCAAGCTTTGACTCTAATGTGCAAACATCAGTCCTCACCTTCACCTTTGATTTCCTGCTCGACAACATAGATTAAGTTCAAGTTTATTTATACAGCGCCAAGCCACAACATACGTTGTCTCAGGACACTGTACATAAAAAGAACAATGTAAAGAAGAAAGCAGCAGATTGTGTTGAATCACTTCATCACAGTCTCCCATCCTGAGCAAACGGTGGAGAGGAAAAACTCCCTGCTAATCAGGAAGAAAGCTCCAGCAGAACCAGGCTCAGGACAGGAGACCATCTGCCTCGACTGGCTGGTTGGAGGACAGATTATATAATCTATGGAAGTAATCTGTGCTTTTTTAAAAATTCTGTTTAGGCAAAGAGTTTTAGAAGATGGAAATTCTATAAGAAAAGTTTAAGAACATTTTTAGGTTCTGAATTATCCGTTTCTTTATAATTCATGCACATGACCAAAACATGAGCCAGACAAACAACAAACAACTCCGCGATGAGGGGAGGGGTCGTTTCAATTCAATTCAAAAATACTTTATTGATCCCAGAGGGAATTTAGGTAATTAGGTTTAACCTGCAGGTGAATCACCTGTGAAGTCAGCCCCACACCTTGTTCCAATATAACAAAACTGGTGTCAAACGTTTGTGCCGATATCGTTTTTAAGATACTATAAGTTGCTGTCACTGTTTTGGCGTTGGGGGCGGGGTTTAATGGACTTTCCACTTTTCCCCTCGTCTGCATCTACCTGCTGACGGAAGGCTCAGGTGATAACCCTGATGTCTTTACTCCTCAAATCAACACAAAACCCAGCAGTAAATACAAAACAAGTTTATTAAAATGTTTTCATGTTAGAACACAGTTAAAGACTTTTATTTTGAAAGTTACGTATAAAAAAATAAACCAAAAATATTTAGTTTAAAAAGCTCAGTAACACAAACAGAACAAACATAATGAGCGGTTTTTGCATAGCAAGTTAAAAAACAACAGAGTTGACCTCAGACCAGCTGTTGGGTCAGAAACATTTTTTTAAAACTTCGGCTGATGTGAGAAAAACTCAGTCACATAAAAGCAACAAATCCTTCAGAAAACTTCAAACACTGATTCAAAAGCAACAGAAAGTTTTTATGAAACATTTTTATCAAATCAAAAAACCATTGTCAGAATTTATTTTCTATAAAGACAAACTAGAAGAGCCTGGCTGTCAGTTTTAATGATATTCTTTAATAAAAATGGCACGTTTTTTTTTTTTTTTTTACTTCAACATAAAACTTTCTGCAAATAAAAACCTGCTGATCAGTAATCAGCTGATTGATTACTGATCAGTTGCTGCACAGAAAAGTTTCAAAATAAAACACGACCCGTTATTCAGAAAACCCTCAGATTTGACCTGTTTTCAGCCTGAAAGGTTCTGGTTCTGTTTGCAGCTGACCAGAACCAGGACTGTTTCTGAAGACAAACAGGATTAAAAGAACACTTCACATTTTATGAACTGTCACTTTAATCAGGTAAATATCAAATAAACTGCAGAAACAAGAAAAAAAAACTTGTTTTGAATCACCAATTACACAATCAGGAAAATCAATCTGCAGAAGCCCCGCCCCCTCCGACTGGCCCCACCTCTGGCCTGCAGAGGCTCTTTGCTATGACAACTGTTTACTGATGAGGTGTGATGAACACAGGCGAATCTACACCAGCTGACCGAGGCTTTGCTCCTCTTTGATTGGTTCTTAGAAGTAGTGGGAGGAGTCTGAAGAGGCTAATTTTATCTCAGGTTTTAATAAAACAACAACGGGTCAATCAGAGCGACAAGTTGTGCAAAATGACGGGTCGACTACATCGACAGGTCCAACAGATTAACAAGTTGAACAGATTGACAGGTAGAGCAGAGCGACAGGTGGAGCGGAGCGACAGGTGGAGCGGAGCGACAGGTGGAGCGGATCGACAGGTGGAGCGGATCGACAGGTAAAGCGGAGCGACAGGTAAAGCAGAGCGACAGGTGGAGCAGAGCGACAGGTAAAGCAGAGCGACAGGTGGAGCAGAGCGACAGGTGGAGCAGAGCGACAGGTGGAGCAGAGCGACAGGTYYAGCAGAGCGACAGGTGGAGCAGAGCGACAGGTGGAGCAGAGCGACAGGTGGAGCAGAGCGACAGGTGGAGCAGAGCGACAGGTAAAGCAGAGCGACAGTTCTGTCTCAGATAAATGTTAAAATCTCTTCATCTGTAACGTTAAAAGCTTCAAACACCAAACCTGATGTTTTTAGTTGAAGGTGCTGCTCTGCAGGTCACAGGACCCATGAGGCGTTCAGGTGATGTGGGAAATAACAGTGCTGACCTCCTTCCACTCGTCTGCTGGAGAAGAAGAGTTTTCTCTCCAACATCTGAGCTGATTGAAGACAACGTTTTGATATTTTCTGGAAATTTCCTGCAGTTCATTCCGGTTTGGATCTGAGGAGAACCTGGGTCAGGATTTGATCCAGAATCCAGACTGTGCAGGAGGAGCTGGGTCAGCTGGACCTCAGGTTCGAGCAGATTCCTGAGACCTCTGGAACAGTTCTACACCTGAGGCAGTGGAGGTGGTGCTCCTCCTCCTCACCTCCATGAGCTGGGCAGGTCCACCAGTGGAGGCTCCGCCTACAGCACAGGTGGAGGCTCCGCCTACAGCACAGAGCACTTGAACAGGCTCTTTTTGGAGCGACACGCAGTGATCTTGACGGGCCCACCTCCAGCTGCTGGGCTGCTGTCGATCTGCTGAAACAAACATCTGGATTTACCTCCAAATATTTCACAAAACATCAATAACAGAAAACATATTTTCCTAACAGAGCACTTCACTGTCAGACTGCAGGTTTACTTGTGGTTCCTGGAGTTTCTAAAAGTAGAATGGGAGGCAGAGCTTTCAGTTATCAAGCTCCTCTCTTGTGGAACCAACTTCCAGTTTCTGTCCGTGAGGCTGACACTCTGTCTACTTTTAAGATTTCATTCTGACCTTTTCTGCTGTTCTGCTAATTTTAACTTTTTCTTTTAGCTGTTTTTAAATCAAATTTCAGCTATTTGGAGGTTTTCACCTTTTTGTGATAAATTTCATCTTCTTACTGCTTATTTTAGCAAATGTGCGCTTTCTGTTTCTTTTTGCTAATTTCTGCTACGCTTTAAGTTTCTTCAGAGTATTTTCAGCTTTTTTCAAAACATTGAAAGTACTTCTTTTCTTGTTTTTCTGCTTATCACTCTTATTTCCTCGTCTGTTGATTCTAACTTCCTTCATCTACTTTTTGCTCTTTTCAGATTTTTTTTATATCTTTCTACTGTTTGTTTTTAATAAGAATTTCCTACAAATCATTCGACGTATTTAAAATGTTCAGACTCACCATCTTCCTGTTGAGTCGTGTCATGATGTCTCTGGCGAGTGTGACGAATCCCTGTAGAGGATACAACTGTCAGTTACCTGTGTGTGTGTGTGTGTGTGTGTGTGTG